CGCGTCGTAGTCTATTCTCCTTTTTTCTCATTAGTTTGTTTCAGTGAAAAAGTATTTTTTTATTTGAAATTTGTTTAATAATAAATGACGCTTGGTTATGTAACATAAATTATATAACATAAAACGCATGGGAATAAATAGAAAAGTATATATGTGTTTATATAGTGAGATCTAATTTGTGTGTTTGAGCACAATGCTTCGCTCGAGGCCATTTAGAAATTATCAATTTTATTATTTTTGTATGCTATTAGAAGCATAGAATTTTATTAAAAATAGGAATAAGTGTTTCAGGACAGTGAAATTGATCCGTTTTATTTCTAAATAAGTTTATTTAGTGAAACGTGTGTTGTGAGGTTATGTTTATTTTTCTCACTGTAAGAAGCCTGAAGGGCAACGAACGAAGGAAGGGTGTAACGTGAAATCAAAACGGTAATAACGGTCTGTTGGGCTTAATGGTTCTATTGATACGAGTAAATTTAATAAACGGAAAGTGTTTAATAGAAAATTTATTCCTTGAGTGTATATAAATAGTTATTTATATATAAAAATGAGGTGTAAAAAAAAGTAAAATTTATCTTTTATATTAATAATTAATTTTCCTATCGTTTTGCTATGAATTATACCTATTCCTTTTAACGTAATTTTTATTTAGACCTCAATTATTTTTTAGATCTCAATCTACGGACAAAGACAAGGTTCGTAAACCAAAACGTGGCTCATCTAATAGCCAGCCAGCATTAGCACAATCGCAATCACAGCCACCGTCACAACCGCAATCACAACTGCCAATATCCTCGATCGCAACATCTGTTTCCAGTAGTGCAGTTGTTACTACTTCTAAACGAGGTGGAAGAAACAATCATCAAACACCTCCGCCATCCGTATCAGTAGCACCTGTTCCATCGATAATACAAGGCCCTTCGTTAGTAACTGGTGGTCATTTTAGCAGTATTGGTTCGGTAGGCTCGATGGGTCCTACCGTTAAAGATTCGCCTCCTAGTAGCCCTGGTTCTGAAAGTATGAGTAGCAATGGACCTGGACGACGCAAAAGAAAAAATGCTTGTACTGCGTCTACAACGCCTACACCACCAGCATCTAATACACCAACAACTTTGACAAATAGTACTAAAGAGGAAAAAGATATTAAGCTGTAAGGATTGTATCATAGATGATATCATTGATTATAAAATAGATATAAATATGTTCAATCATAAAAACTTTATTTCATAATTCTTGTTGTAGATTTCAAAATGGCGTTAGTGCGCCACATATGTTAGGAAATCAATTAAATCCGACTTCAACAATGGCACAAAAAATGTCTGATACATTATCACAAGAATTGGAGGCACATTCTATTTTTACAGAAGCAAATAATTCTACAACTAATTTAGTTGGTCCACAATTGCACAGTCGTGTAATAGCCTCCGTAAGTTTCTTATAAATAATAATTGTAACGTATTTTTTTTTATACGTCTGTTTCTTTTTTTTCTTCTCCTTTTCTTTTTTTTTTCCCCCTTAAAATTATGTAATAATGAAACTAATCTTTTTTATGCAGATACGATCCAATCAAACAACTACGGCACCTACCTCTTTTTCGTCTGTTTTTTCAACAAACAGTAACACAAATATTAGTACTGCGAGTTCTGGAACGTTAGGTAGCGGAGCAATTCCACAAACATTAGATCAGCTGTTAGAAAGACAATGGGAGCAGGGCAGTCAATTCTTAATGGAACAAGCGCAACATTTTGACAGTGAGTGTACGGCAAGAAAAAATAAGCTTACGTTCGCATGAGTGTGGTGAAATATGAACTTGTGGTTTTTTCTTTTTTTTTTTTTTCGATTTAAATCTATGCATGAATAATATATAGTTATAGTCTGATTTTTTTTGTATCACTCATTAAACTAAACTGCTTCCTGCTTGATAGTATCTTTTAAATAAGAATATATATATATATATATATATATATATATATATATGGATTAATTAAATTTTATTATAGTTGCATCACTACTTTCGTGTCTTCATCAGTTAAGAGCTGAAAATCTTAGATTGGAGGAACATGTAAATAGTCTTTTACAAAGGAGAGATCATTTATTAGCCGTGAATGCGAGACTCGCAATACCGTTAACAACTCAACCGAGTGCACATCCAGGTAAAACAATGGATCAAATGAGATTCCGTAGGAAATTGTATTATTCTTTTATTGTATATAATATATCTTTTATATCGTATAAATATTTACAGTTAATAATGTACATCCTACGGTAAATCCGTCTCATCCTAATGTCGCACATCCGGAGGTACCACCAGGAGCATCCGGAGCCACTGTACCTAGAGTTAATCGAGAACCTCGCGTGAATAATACATACATGCCTCATTCTAGTTCCGTGAACCATCCGACAACGTTAGAAAATGGATTACCACCAGATCCTTCCCCACCTGCAGCAGCATCCTTATCTCAGTATCAACACAGAGGATCTTTGGTTGCCCCACAACCAAGTCCTACAATAAGGTAGGATAACTGTCTATTGTCTGATAATATAATTATAGTTAATTCAAAGTGAATTTTTTGGTTTGTTTTTTGTTTTGTTGTTTTCGACGATTACGATAGACATAGTCCAGCAGCTAGTGGATATTTACAAGGACAACAAAGTAACATTGTATCACCGGCTACAGCTAGTAATTCAGGAGTAGTGAGAAATTCTTCGGTAACCCCTGATCCTTTACGTGGTGTACCACGGTACGTTAATGAAGAAAATTAATAGTTTTTATTCTCTTTCTCTTACATATTGACATGATAATTAAAATATTACCATAATAATTTTCATTAGATCGGTACCACAATCATCAAGTAGTTATATGCCGTCAATGTATCAACCAGCAATGTCAAGTCTCACTAATAGTCAAGTAGGTAGCGTTCATAATCTTCATTCACATGGACCTTCTCCGACTAACCATGGGCCACCGGGTAAACCTAGCTGAAGGTAGATGCAATTACGAAATAAACAAAAACATTCGTCATCCGTAAAACGTGATAGATGCAAAGGCTAGTTATATGTTCAGATCGTGCAATGAAGAATAATAACAATTATGGAAATTGTATTTTGTTTGTATTAACTGCCGAATTTAATTAATTGAATCATATTATCGAAAGTTTTACCCATAATTCTTGACTTTGCACATGTTTGTCGGTCTCTACTCAATTATGCAATACATCTATTATTAATATTTCATATTATACTGAGCGCTAATGATGATAATAATGATGATGGTGATGATGATGATGATGATGACGATGATGACGATGATGGGTAAAATGAAAGGATCATAAAAGTTTGAGATATATATATATATATGTACATATATACATATATATACATCCATATATGTATGTATGTATGTATGTATTTATGTATGCATGTGTCTCTCTGTATGTAACATACATACGAAGTAAATGAGATTCGGATTGCGAAATAATCCGTCTAGCGCATTATATCTATCTATATTTTATAAATATAAGTACTGTTTTATTTCCTTTTCTTTTATTTTTTTAAAGTTTGTTTTTTGTGCACCAGTCGGAGACAAATTTAACGTTTTAATATGTATATCTGGCATGGTATTAGAATTATTTTCTTTTAAGTTAAGCGATTTATAGCAGAACTGCAGGTTAAAGGTATATTGAATTTACTCGTTGCAGTTCTGATGGCAATCAAGAATTTATAAAATCTGAAAATCCATTTATCAGCGAATATAATGGCAATCAAGAAAATTCGAATATAGAAAGAAATAAGAATATGACTGAGAATTAGTATATAATTCATTAATCGAAATTTTGTAATCGGTAATCTTTTTTTTTTTTATATATATATTTATTAAGTAAATATATACATATATATATATACATTTTTTTTTTTTTTAATTTTTTTTCTGTTCTTTTTTTCTCTTTATTTCTTTTTTTTTTCTTTTTTTTTTTTTTTTTTAATTTTTTTTTAATTTTTTGGATACAACAGTGCCTGCTTGGGGAAGTAGTAGCGAACACAACGAACGTTGAGTAGAGACATTTCAATCGTGACCAAAGAATAAGAATTAATAGAAGAATTTGCTAGGTGTTTGTTTGGTCATCATTTGAAAGAAAAAAGAAAAAGAAAAAAAATCATTGTGTAATTAGTTATCTATAGGATGATGAATACAGGTTTTTTTTTTTTGTTTTTTTTTTTTTGTTTTCGTTTTTTTTTTGTTTGTTTATACGTGTCAAACACATACGAGACAATCTCTGAGTGTTGTTGACATCATAAAGGATCAGCAAATCCACAGATGTACAAACGTGTAGACTGTAAGTTAAGCTACCGCGATTAATAGCAATAATAAACGATAGATGTACATTTTAATTAGGATTATATTAAACATATGATGGTGCAGTAATGAAATTCATGTGTAAGTTATACAGAACATTTTGCAATGACGTAATATCATTTAATATAAATAATATCATAAGTGATTTAATATCGGACAGGAATTAAAATGAATGAACAATATATTTTGATGTTTATTTATTTATTTGCCATATCAAAGGGACTTTCTTTATTGCATCATCAAACGTTCCCGTTAAGAAGGCGTATTGTGTATAGTATAAAAAAAAAAAAAAAAACAAAAATAGATACACAACCTATTTCAAAGCCACATTATAATGTATATTTTAAACTAAAGCATAAAGCATAAAAGAAAACAAAACAAAAAAAAATATTGTACAACACGAGCACTGCCTTCCACCGAAAAGAGCTTTGAAATAGGTTGTCTACGATTGCCATTTTTTTTGTTTTGTTCAAAAATGCATGATCGTATATTATGTTTCTTTCTTTCTTTCCTTTTTTTTTTTTTTTTTTTTTTTTTTTAATATATATATATATATATATATATATATATATATATATATAAATCATTTTTCTTTTCTTTCTTTTTTGTGATTTTAAAAAGTTTTTTTTTTGTTTTTTTGTTTTGTTTTGTTTTGTTTTTCTTTTTTTTTTTTTTCCCTTTTCTTTTTCTGTATTACTTTCACGAATTTATCTCTTCACCTAAATTGGTGCGTACAATCATTGTTTGCTTAATTATAAAAACGATATATAGAAATAATATTGTGCTCTCGTGATTTATATAAGTTTGCTACGATACTCGTATAATTGGTATAATTCCAGACATTCTTTGAGATGACTCTATACATTGAGAGATGTATTAGTAAGGTATACTTATAACGTCTATGGTAAATTGTGTATTATATATTTAAAGATATTAAGGAAATGCATTTGATCTTACTCTCGCAAGATTTTCGAAAAGAAATCGTAAGCAATTTTTTTTATTATATATATATTATTTTATTTTTTATTATATATATATATATATATATATATATATATATAATATATATCTTTTATATATATATATATATATATATATATATATATATCTTTTCTTTTTCTTAAATGAATTTGTTTACGATGTGTACTCGGTGATTATGATGAACGCATATCTCTTATCTCAGTTTTTATTATAAAATGATATTTCTTAATTAGAAAAAAATATTTTACTTAGCAAGTATTAGACTTATTGGAAATATAAATAATAATTGATTTTTTTTTTTTTTTTTTTTTTTTTTTTTAATATATATATGTATACAACTATTATACGTTGTAATGATTATTATTATTAATCTTTAAATTTAAGCGTATATATTATTTGATTTATATTTGAAAAATTGTTGAAAAAGTTTTGTAAGGCTAAAGTAAAAAAAGGAAAAAAGAAAAAAAAAAAAAGAAAAAAAAAAAAAAAGAAAAATTCATCATAATCCCAAGAACATAAAGACTTAAAATCGAAAACATAAAAGAGTTTCAATTTGAAATATATAAGTTTATAAAAATAATATTAGAAAAAACCAAATTGCGTTACGAGTTATGACTGATTTTGCCATAACGTGTTCTTCGTTAATTTAAAAATCTTAATTGTGTTCAAAATAGGTAAAAAAAAAAGAAAAAAAGAAAAAAAAAAGTATTTTCTTTCTTTTTTTTTTTTTTTTCTTTTTGTAAAAAAGCGAACGACAAAATTTCATTTTCTTTTTTTAATTGGAAATGATATGTATTTTGTCTCTGATGCTTTTGCATTAGATCGAAATATTGAATTTAATTAACAAATGTGACTACTTGGAGAAATTGAAATTTTTTTTTCTTTAAGCGTGGGCGAACTTCGGATTAAGGATCTTCTACGATTAAATTATGTAATTAAAGGAAACGGAAAAAAAAGAAAGGAAAAAATTAATACGTATGGGACAAGCGAAGAAACAAACAAACAAATAGACAAACAAAAAAGATAAGATAAAATAAAAATAAAAATAAATATAAATGATAGACGTCGAAACACCAAACTTACAGAATAGCTTATCACCACTCAGGGAAATCGGTTTATTACTCAAAATTCTGTCGAGTTTTCCTTTGAGTACGTCGATCATGGGTCTTTATAATAATATAAAAAATTCTATATACGTATATACAGATTATTAAACATTTTTGAATATTAAAAGCGAAACATTGACGGTCAATGTAATCAATTTTTCATATCTTACAGTAAATCTGAAATATTTAGAAATGGATAAAAAATCATTTCTCTATATATTTCCTCGTATTATCGATACATCAAGATACACGATTGACGACTACTCTATCGAAAGTTCGTTAGGATTTCTAAAATATGAAGAAAAAGATGATTAAAAAAAAGAAAGAAAAAAAAAAAAACAAAAAAAAAAAAAAAGAAAGAAAGAAAAAAAAAGAAAAGAAAATATTTGAATACGTCAAGTGAGAATAATTTCAGTAAAAGATAAACATCTCATCGCGTTTGTACTAATGAAAAATATTTTATGCGTCAGTATAGTAACTATATATTGTATTAAAAATATAATGATTATACACATGAAATATCCATTGTAAAAATTAAAAGAAAAAGGAAAAAAAATTAATAAATAAAAAGAAGCAAGAGAGAGAGAAAGAGAAGAAAAGAGACGATGAAAAGATTGACGAGGATTGTGATATACGTCTACTACAGAAAAAAAAGGAATAAATAAATAAAAATTAAAAAGTCGAAGAGTGTAAGGATCGGCAATGAAGAAAAACAGAAAGAAGAGAAATGAGAAAGAAAGAAAAACCACAGAGCACTGCGACGTTATTTTTACACAAATGATGATGTTTGCTGCTGATGATGATAATGACGACGACGATGATGATGATGATGATGATGATGAAGACGATGATGATGATGATGGTGGTGGTGGTGGTGATGATGATGATGATGATGATGATGATGATGATGATGATGATGATGATGATGAACGTGCCAAATTTTTTGCAATCGAATTACCGAACTCCCTCGATACTTCTCATAGGATTTATCTCGGCTATTATGAACGTGTGATGTAGATAAGAGAAATTTTTTTCAGGCGATATTATAAGAATTTAATGAAGGAAAAAGATAAACGGAAAGAAAAATCAGAAAAAAGAAATACGAAGGAGAAGATGAAAGAAATTATTACAAAAGTAAAAACACGATGTCAATGTTTGTGTCTATCGTAATTAATGTTAAAAAAATAAAAAAAAAAAAAAAAAGGAAAATAAGAAAAAAAAAGATGAGAAGTGTGCGAACCGGCGAAGTTCTTTCTAAAGAAATTTTATTTTTCACAAGTTCGACGTTTAGTTCCTTTTTTGGTTTATCGTGCATTAATCGTATTATTATTATTATTATTATTATTATTATTATTATTATTATTATTATTATTATTATTATTATTATTATTATTATTATTATTATTATTATTATTATTTTTATTATTATTAATATTAATATTATTATTATTATTATTATTATTATTATTATTATTATTATTATTATTATTATTATTATTATTATTATTATTATTATTATCATCATCATCATCATTATTATTATCGTTATTATTTTTATTATTATTATCAATATAATTATTATTATTATTATTATTATTATTATTATTATTATTATTATTATTATTATTATTATTATTATTATTACTATTATGATAATTATTATTATTAATCATACGTATTACAAACATAAAATATCAAGATAAAAAGTTTATTTTAGTCCTTAACGCGTGTTCAATCTTATTATAGAGAAATACATGGACGAGTTCCTAATCATTTTTCGAGTTAGATATATTAGAATCGTGTGTTATTAATATTAGAAAAGGAGAGAGAGAGAGAGAGAGAGAGAGAGAAAACGAGAAGTGAGAATTAAGATCTAATTCGATACGATTTGTAAGAGAGGTGTAGTATCCTCTTCTCTTGGCACGCACATTACTGAGGATTATTAATACTCTCAGTTTGATTATTTTTTTTATAACATACCACCCCTCGATCCACCCCATTTTTTTCTTGCTTTTGTTGTTTCATTTCGTGTGGATTTTGTTCTTTCTTTCTTTTCTTTTCTTTTCTTTTTTCGATTGGTTTGTTCGTTCGTTTGTTCTTTTTTTTTCCTTTTTTCTTTCGATATGTATAATGATTTCTTTTTTATCTTTTCTTTTGTTTTTCTTTTTTTTTTGTTTTTTTTTGTTTTTCGTCTATTTACGCCGCTAGAAGCTTTATTAAGAAAATTTCGATAAGAAAAATTGTTCGCGTGCGTAACGAGATATATTGCATATATATCTGTTTATGTAAGGCGTCTATGTGTATGGAGGTTGTGCGTGAGTGTTCATAATTATATTAATATTATTGGCGTATATATGGGCGTGTGCGAGAAGAATAAGTAAGCTGCGTCTTTTAAAATGAATACAATCAAGAAGAATAAAAGACCTTGTGAGATAAAAAAAAAATATATATATATATATATATATATATATATATATATATATGTATGTATCAATTCATAATGGGAAAATTTGTCGATAGATTTGTTTTGACGCTAGATTTTGATTCGTTTTTGTTTGTTTTTCTTTTTTTTCTTTTTTGTTCCCTCCCACCTGCCCCCCTCCCTCTCCTTTACAAAAGAAATGCGAAAAAGAAAAGAAAGAAATATTACACAAAAATAAAATTAATAAATAGATAAACAAATAAATGGAGGAAAGAGCGGCGTTCGAATTATATCACATTGTGGCCGGCTCTTTATCAAAGTCTCGATTTTGTACGAAATAGACGATACAACAAATTGTTATACCTAATGCTAAAGTTTTGATACGATGTGTTTTTAAGAAAAAAAATAAATAAAAAATAAAAAGAAGGATTGAAAAAAAAAAATAATAAAAATGAAAGGAAAAAGACAGCGAGCGAGCGAGAAAGAGTGGACTTAATATCGTTTAAAAAAGAAAAGAAAAGAAAAAAAAAAACATGAAAAAAGACACAGAGTTTTGCACAAGCGACGTTTCTCATTACGTATATTCTTTTCTTTTTTCTGTAACTCCGTTCTGTTTCTGTAAAAAAAAATATAAGGCAAAGTTCGTCTAAACAGTTTAAAGTAATAAATAAGAAGAAGAAGAAGAACAAAGTAAAAACAAAGAAATACAAAAGAAGGATTATCGATGATCTTTTGTATCGTGGTTGTGTGAAAAAAAAGGATAGAAAAAAAAGAAAAAAAGAAATTGAAATAAATTTTTATGTTAGCTTGGAAATAAATTTCGACGAATTATATTTGATCGATTTTTTATACGACACTGATCGTATATCGAAGGAGAAAGAGAGCGAAAGAGAGAGAAAGAGAGTGGGGGGGGGGATTAAAAAAAAAAGTAAGGAAGCGAATCACATAAGCTCGTTCAAAAATCGCTGGAATGCATATATTTATCGTTTTTTAGCTTTTCTCTTTTTCTATAGAGATCAATGAAAAATAAAGAGAAAGAGAAAACCAGAAAAATTATAAAAGAAAGATGGCTACTTGCTGACAGCGACTTTTGAATCGAACCCTCGTATACACACATATTGTATGTACCTACTCGTACAGGATAAAAAAATGAATGAAGTTTTTATCATCAAGAAAAAGGCCGATCGCTTTTTTTTATTACGCTCGTGAGAGATGAAAAGATGATGATGACGATGATGATGATTATGATGATGATGATGATGATGGTGGTGATGATGATGATGATGATGAATAAATAAATAAATAAATGCGTAGAGAAGTCGACGATATTTTCGAAATCGAGTTGGACGAACAATTTTTCTTCTTTGTATAAAAAAAAAAAATGGCGTCTTGAAAAAAGTCGATCTTGAGTCAATGAAAAGAAATGAAGAAAAAAAGAAAATAAAGGAGAAATGTATTACACATAAAACGAAGGAGAATCGTTCGACCTTTTGTTTTTTCTTTCTTTTTCTTTACTTTTCTTTTTTTTTTTTTTTTTTTTTGTTATTTGTTTTTTGGAAATATCGTCGATGCGTTATCTCATTGGTTCGATTCGTCGATCCATACATTGTATAAGTTTGACCGAGGAACTTGGACGATGTATTATACGATTTTGTAATGTAATTTTGTGCATATGGAAAAGCATGTAATAAAGAAGGCTAAGCGACAAGTATATTCTTTAAAATCGATCGATATCGATCGATATCAATCCAATAATCAACCTATTTAATATATTTTTTTTTAGGGCTATTAACATATTATTTTTTCATTTCTAATAGTTATTCAAGGAGAATTATTGATTCAAATTTTTTTTCTCTAAAATCTAGATTTTAAATTTGACTTTAATAAATTATAATAAATTGGAAAATATATTATAATAAATTGGAAAATATAATAAATTGGAAAATTTTATTATTCAATTATCGATATATATATATATATATATATATATATATATATATATATTATTTTTCATTTACTAATCGTTATGCAATCATGTTAAACTAGATTATAGTTTATAAAATATAAACTAGAAAATAGTTAGAGAGACAAATATTTCTTTTTTTCTTCTTTTCTTTTTCTTTTATTAAAATTTAATTAGAATTTGATTCAATGAATTATCATAAATATCGGAGATATTAAGGAATTGTAAATACAAAAAAATTATGTTACTTGAGATAAAAGAAGGAAAAAGAAATACAATTTTATTGTTAAGAAAATTAGATTGAATGTTGGTGATTAATTTTTCTTACTTTTTTTCTTTTTTTCTTTTTTTCTTCTAAAATTTAATCAGATATCAGTTGGACTTTAATGAGATAAATTTCAATAAATTGTGATAGGGTAAAGTAAACGCTAACGTTTAGAAAACTCGAGATAAATTTACTCGAAATAAGGAGATAAAAAGAAAAGAAAAGTAATAACAGGAAATGAACTTCCTTGGTCTGTAGATAAACGAGCACCACGACTATTTCGCAGAAACGTTACTCGGTTGACGGACGATTCTTCAACTTTTGTCGCTGTTCGAGCAACGATCGTGGGAATACTCACCTGCGACCTCCTCTCTGACAAATCGATATTATACGAGAACACGCGAGTACATATATATATATGTATGTATATATGTACGTAGATATATATGTGTACATATATATTTATATACATTGTACATACACATATAGAAGATCGTTCTTTTATGTCGATACGTGAAAAATGTTATTTAGAAAATATCTTTTAGTTATTTTTATAAATGATCTTTGTCGATTCGTTTTTCTTTTCTTTTTCTTTTTTTTTTTCTTCAAAAAATCGACGAACTATCGAATTCGTTAATTCGTTGAATTTCATGCGAAATTAATTAATTATTTTTTGATAATTCTTTAATGTCTTTGCACCATCTTAATTTGATTTGTAATATCTATTTAATAATTTATTATATACTATGTTGTAATACGTTTATCAAAAGTTTATTTCGTATTATAATATTTTAAAAGTAAAATACTCTGATAGTATGGGAAGAGAACTTTTAGCATAGTCAAGTTAATAGGATTTCATTTGAGACGGTGGATTTAACGACGAAGCTTCTCGATGCTTATCGAGAAGATACAGATCGATTCCTGCTCCCCTCCCTCGTCCCCTATACCTCTCTTTCACTTGTGTGCTCCAATTTAAACGCATCCGACGGAACCTCTCTCAGCTCCATTTCTATTTTTTTCTTTTTTCTTTTTTTTTTTTTTTTTTTTTTATCCATCGTTATAATAACTCTTTGCAATGGATTACAGAAAATATATTTTTCAATTATTTTTGTTTTTATTAATTTTTGCAAATTTTTTTATTTCTTGGTTTTTCTTTCTTTCTTTCCTTTTTTTATTTTTTTTTTTTTGCTTTTTGTTTTTTATTTTATATAATTTTTATTGAAACAAAAATTATATAATAATATAATTTTTATTGAAAAAAAAATTATGTAATGTGAAACTCGTAACTATACTGTAGCAAATTTAATTTATATTTACAGTTGGCAAACATTAATTTTCTGAATATGAAATGATAAATAAGAAAAGAATTATATAACGTTAAAATTTCTCTCTCTCTCTCTCTCTCTCTCTCTTTCTCTCTAATAACATAATCTATATTTGGCAAACGTTAACATATTGACTATGTCACGAAAATATGGAATAAGATTTAGAAAAAAATACAGAAAAAAATAATGCTGGTCTACAAAGTAATCTAAGTCATATATTTTTTCATTTTGTCATTTGAATTTGAATTATTTAAAAATTATTTGTTCTTCTACATATACATATATATTCGTTCTTGAAAAATCATTCGTAATTATGCAATTTAAATAATTTTAACAATACTTATTTAATTACGATTTAAAATTAATAAATAGATAATATTTATAATTACTGACTGATACTAGACATCTATAATTTCGAAGTCAGATTAGACTTTGTAAAAAATTAAATAAAAACGGATGAAAAAATTCGTTCAAATAGAAATTAATTAATTAATTAATTAATTAATTCATTCATTCATTCATTCATTCATTTCTTTTTTTCGTTCATCCATTCCATATTTAAATTACTGATATTGATTTTCAACATCCATAAAAATATTCATATATATATATATATATATATATATATATATATATATATATATATATATATATATATATATATAATAAACGTTGCTAATAAAACTGTTATTAAAACACAATAGGATAGAACGTTGAAAATGGATATAGGGGGTTGGATTTTGTATTTAGTTTGGTACGGTGGCTAGCTAATCGAAATACAATGAAGATCGTTGGGGTACTTAGAAAAAGGAGGAAGAGGAGGAAGAGGAGGTTGAAAAAAATGGGTGAAGGGTAGGGGGCGGGGGTGAAGTTGGTGCAAAAGCGCGAAAGCGATCTCTCGAAGCGATCATTCGCGAGGGGTAGATTTTGGCGGACTTTAGAAACCGCTTCAGGGGTGCAGCTGTCCAGGTATTTGCCTAGCCCTATTTCTATGGACATAGGGGATACAATCACGAAAGGGCTTAGAGTAGCGGATAGATGCTCTCTTTTACTCGACTCGATAACGCTTCGCACCCTTCGGAATTAAAGCGACATGCTTCTCTCTGATTTTTTTTTGTCTTGTCTTGCACCTTGCATCTACGCGTATTTATGTTTAATATGTTACGAAATTTTTCTTTTTGTTTTTGTTTTTTTTTCTTTTTTTTTTCATTTTCTTTCATTTCTTTTTCTTTTTCCCTCGAGATTGCGCTCGCTAAATTTGTTTTTTTTTTTTACTCTCTCGAATTAATTCAAATATTTTTTTCTAACGTAAAATATTTTTTTTCCTAATCATCGTGATCAATCTTTCATTGTTTCATAGTGTTCAATTATGTATGAAATAATTTTAGTTTCTCTCTCTAATCGTTTTCTTCGTAAAATATTTATACGATGAACGAAGATGGATGTAGCTTTTATTAGGAGGTTGTGAATTGAGAATGAATATCTACTTTTGTATGTCACTCCAGCTGCGAGGATCAACACAAGTGCGCCGCCTCTTAGCCCTTAACCGACGAGAGGGTCAGACGACCTTTAATGCGCCCCCGATGCACCCTATATACTACTGTCGTATGGGACGATCTATGAGACGACGTGGTCTCTATGGTTTGCTAATTTTCACGGGGTCTTAACACCATGACGTTCGAGCCGATTAAATCCGACCTAGTACGATGTATCGAGTTTTCGCACTTACCCCCATACATCTCCATAATTTTTTTCTTTTCTTCTTCATTCCTTTTTTCTTTCATAATCTCGGGAGAGAGAGAGAGAGAGAGAGAGAGAGGGGGAGGAAGAGAGAGAGAGAAAGAGAATAAATAAAATAATTTCGAAGTTCGTACAAATGTATAAGATTTTTTAAAAGATTTCTTTTTGTGAAAAATTTGTTTCCTTTTCTTTCTTCTTTACGCACCGATCATACAAATTATACGAGCGACGATATCACTCGATTATTATTTCACATTGTGCGTAGATCAAAAGTCCTTTCTGATAAGGGCCAAGCATTTTAAGCGATAAACGCAGGTGTATCGACACACCTGCGTAAACTATACAGGATAAGTAATCTATCATGTATTGTACGAGTATTATCATTAATCCTATGAGAAAGAGATATGTATATATACGTATACGATCGTGTATTAAACGCTTTGTGTGATAATTATTACGTTCTCTCTCTCTCTCTTTCTCTATACATATATAAATATATATATATATATATATATATATATATATATGTATATGTATATATCACTTTTTTCTAATCTCATGTACTATATACAAGAATTGATTTAATATACATAGAGCAAATATCGTAATAATGTAAATAACGTATACGATCACATTTTTTTCTTACAATGTAAAAAAAGAATAAAAAACAGTTTATTATAAAGATTCGTTTATAAAGAAAAAAAAAGGTAAAGAAAAAAAAAAAGCAATGGCAGAAAATTTTTCCACAATTCGCTCTAATGATATCGTTTTATTTTTACAGAATAGTGAGAAATATTCTCTGTTATATCTTTATTTATAAAAGAAGAAAAAAAATGCCATTTAAATTTTTTTCCTTTCCCCCCCCCCCCAGTAATTAAAACAAAATGACGAGGAAGAACGTACGGAACAAGAAAAGGATTCTAATGAATGTCGTTAATTGTAAGAAAATGTCTACGAGGATGACGTTGACAGATTCTTTTCTTTCCCTTTCATCTCTTCGTCTCTCTCTCTCTCTCTCTCTCTCTCACTCACTTTCTTTCACTCTCTCTCTCTCTCTCTTTCTCTCCTTCAAGAGAACACGAAATTGTTCCTAATTGTCCACAAATCGACGTAGACTCCCCTCGATTTCTCGAACCGTTAAATACAGACAGCAGCAGTACCACCACTATTAAACACTTCTCTTCCCTCCCACCACCCTTTTTTTCTAACCCTCCAAGCGTGTTCATATAGCGGTAGCGAAAGGGCGTTCCGCTAGCTAGCTACTACCAATTCGATTCGGAAAGGGTCTGGTGCATTTTCGGTTTAGACATAGAGCACCGGGCACCCCCACGGTGTAATACGGATTCAATTACACCTCATTGTACAACAGTGTCTATAAACAAGAATGTTTTCACAGCTGATAGCGACTCGGGATACACTGTATCTTCTTTCTTTCTCTCTCCTCTCTTCCTCTCTCTCTCTCTTTCTCTTTCTCTTTCTATAACATTAGAATTTCTAATTCTTTGAAGATATTCAATGAAAATAATTTTATATATTTCTATAAGGGATAGATTATTAAAAATGCAATCGTAAGTGTAAGTAAAAGTTCTTCGTTAAATTGTTAATTATAAAAAAATTGCATGTTCTTTTTTTTTTTTCTTTATGAAAGAACATATGTTCTTTCTACTTCTTCTTCTTTTTCTTCTTCTTCTTCTTCTTCTTCTTCTTTTTTTTTTCTTTTTTTAAATGGTGCATCGTGCAATTGATCCAACCAAGTGATAATTCTTCGTTGACTTGTTAGTTGTAAACAAAATTTCACTTTTTTCTTTTTTTTCTTATTTAATTTGCATCTTGCAATTGATTCAAGCAAGCGTTGATGGTTCTCCATTAACTTTTTTGTTAATTTTTTAATTTGTTAATTGTACAGAAAAGAAAATGTCATAAAATCTTTTTCTTCTTTTTTTGTTTTCTTTTTTTTTTTTTTTTTTTTTTTTTTCATAAAAGAATACATTTTCTTTCGATTCTTCTTTTTTATAATGAATCATACGATTGATCGAAAAACTTTCCATTTATCATCCGTACTATTTGTTTGTTAATCAGAATTCATATTGTTTTGTAAATATGTCCAGTTAACAAGTTGAAAATGATTTGGTTGTTCGTAATATACCCACACACACAAACACACACGCGCACGTACGCACGCACGCACGCACGAACACACAATTATATATATATTCATATATAATATATATATATATATATATATATATATGTATAATATATATATATATATTGATGCGTGAGAAAAGAGAAGTTCTTTTGGTCGTTCGTGTTTGAAAATGACAAGGAAATGGAAGGCGAATAAGGAAGGAAGAAAGGATCGACGTCGTGGGAAGGTACGCAGCCGTCGCCGCCATCATTCTTCTCGCGGAGAACAACACAGGGCGTCGCGACGCCGCAGTATCGACGTACCGCCCACTACATCTATCTTTGTCTTCCTCTAATTCTGTCTGTCTGTCTGTCTGTCTATCTCTCATCTATTCTCTTTTCATCCACGAAATGTACTTTGTCGTTTAAATTTTGCTTGAGTTTGTCACGTGTTTTCCGATCGTAGAGGCGCCGTCTTGTACTCATCATTGTTCTATCATTTTTAAAAAATTTCTTTAGAACCCAGTATGATATGTTTTTTTTTCTTTTTTTTCTGTTTTTTTTTTTTTTTTTTTTTTTTTTGTTATACAGAGTAATGACGAAAAGTATATCCATATTATGATCAAATAGAAACGTTTAATTATTGATACGGATAATAATTACGATCGGTGATCTCATTATCAGTAAATAATAGATCGAATATATTATTTTGAGGAAGAAAAGAAAAGAAATAAAAGATAAACGATATTCATAAAAATTAGACGTATTTTGTTGGTTTGCAAATATGACGATATACAGAATCTTTATTTACAGTTTTGTATCTCGATTGTGTACATATATATATATATATATATATATATATATATATATATATATTATATTTATATATATATATAAGTTGAAGGAATGTTTATTTCTTAAAAACAAGACGTACGAGCTCGATGCTTGACAATGATCATTCTCTTTTTCTTTTTGTTCTTTTCCTTTTTTTTTCCCTTTTCCAAATTTACATTCGTTCGTCGTTTTTCAAAAATTGCACAAAAGTAATTTTTCCTTTCTTTTTCTTTTTTTTTTTTTTCTTTGTTCATTTTACGAGTCCGCACAATTCGCGAGAGCGAATTATTCGTCACAGTTAAAGTTTAGACTAGATTAGATTATTTTTCTTTCCTTCTTTTCTTTTTTTTTTCTTTTTTTTTTTTTTCTTTTTTGGTTCTCGCGAGTTCTTCTAATCGAACTTCTAGAAATTCACGATAAGACTAGACGTTTCGATTATTTTATAAATTTCACCTTCTTAGACACTAAATAACACGCGTTACGAAATTTCTCAATTATTTTGAGATCTTGGAATTTTCAGAGGGATCGATTTGGGCGGGAGGAGGTTGATTATTTCCTCTTTGTTGTTGTTTTTTTCTTTTCCTTTCCTTATTTTCTTTTTTCTGTTTTTTTTCTTTTTCTTTTTCTTTTTCTTTTTCTTTTCTTTTTTTTTATCTAATCACGATGGATGTAGATGGATAAATGATAGAAAGGAAATTAAGGAGAGAATTCTTCACTCGTAAGTCGTTCCGGTTTTCGCTGTTCTCGGATCTTCAGGCGTCCAAACCTTAGCGTACATAGTACCGTTTGACGAAACATCTGATTCTCTTGACCAAGAGAGAGAATGAGAGATAAAGGGATTGCCACCGCTTCCTGAAATTAATGTAATCAATGATATTAGTTCCCATTAGAAGATTTTTCTATCGCGCTGTCAAAAATAATAATTTAATAATATCAACCTAACATAATAGATAAAATAATGAGAAATAATAATAGTTATAAAAGTAAAAAAAGAAAAAAAAAGAATTATTTAATTAATATTAATGCGATAAATAATAATGCGATTAATGTCATAATTCAAAGTTCTTTGTCAATGATTTATGATCGTCTCTATCAGGAAAATTACATACTAGCATTTCTATTCATTTCCTGTATGCGACTAGATATCCGGTATTTGTTATATACTTCAGACAGGTGTCACACTCATATATATATATATATATATATATATATATTAATATATAGCAATATAGAAATAATCTAAAGTGTTGGTCTACGGTCAGATATATCTATTTAATCATTTTTTACTTTTCCTTAATTTTTCGCGTTTCATTAGATGCGAATTAATTGATTATATATTTTTGAACTCTTTTTTAATGTCGTCGTATTATTTCTTTTTTTTTTATTTCGTAAATCGTCGAGAAAAGAAAATATTTCTTTATAACAGTCGTGTATTTCTTTCTTTTGGACGAAAAGATGACATAAATTAGAAAAAGAAAAAGGAAAAAATTTGGATAATTTTGAATCCAATCATAATTGGCCTCACCACGAACTATGATCTTCTTAGTGTCATCTCGTCCAGAACACCTTGAATGACCACCGTTTCCTGTTAGTGGATCGTTTCCTTTATCAGCACGAACGAGTTCATTGAGGAATTTAATATAACCAATGGCCAGTTTTAATGTGTCCACCTTCGATAACCTCTTCTCGTAGGGCAATGTAGGTATATGAGCCCTTAAACCCTCGAACGCGTCGTTTATGTTCTGCATACGTCGCCTCTCACGCATGTTTGCAGCCTGTCGTTGTTGAACAGCCTGCCTTGGACATTTCCCACCGACACCGTTTCGTCTGCTGCCACGACTTCGGCTTCGGCTTCGTCTAAATCAACGATTCATCATCGATCATTGATCATCCATAGAAATCATTTAACACCATTAAAATAATCTTTAACATTTTACTATTGAAAAAATATTTAGCCTTAAAAATATCTAAAAAAATATCTAATCCTTAACGATCTAATTTCCTAATCTAAATCAATAACAAACGTGTAATTTATTATTTACAATAAATACATATATTCTAATTACATCGACAATATTCGTATCATCGTATGCTAATAAAGTTATAAAATGTATCGATTAAATGGCAATATGAAATTGAAATTTAATCTGTGCTATATTTAACGTTAATCATTATAACGTACATTATGTCGATCATTTAAATTCAATTTAAATACATTAGATTAATTAATTATACATATTCTTTTCTATTATTTCCAATAAACATATATTCTTAATAATATTCATATATTCATATATTCTTATTAATAAGCATATATTCATTTTTTAATTAAATCTAATATATAATAACAATTGATATTATCTCTGTCGTATGCAAATGATATGATATTGAATATAATTATATTATAGATATAAAAATATCAATAATTAACGAACGATTAACAAAATCCTTCGAGATACTACGTTTCTCATCGTAATAACGATTATTAGATATTCATTGGAACTTACTCCCTTGCATGATTTTCTTGATCGCTGCTGTATACGCTCTCGTTGTCACTGCTATTCTCGTCATAGGGATAAACGTCGCTACCACTTGTACTTCCGGTACTACCAGAAGGATGCGACGGTAATTGGGATGGAATCGTTGGTAAGCTAGCCGTAGTTGGTGTACCATAATGAGCAGGCAAAGCTGGAATCGCTGGATTACCAAGGAAACTATGCGCCTCGTACATATATTGACGATTCATTATGTCCAATTCCAAATTGTCCATGGAATACATTTTTTCTAATATTTATTAATATCTTTTCCCTCGTCCTTCTTCCTTCTCTTTAATACACTTATTCAAAATCAAAACAATTCTTTCTTGTCACGTAAAATTAATAAACACATTCTGATAATCACTCTTTTTCTCATCTTCTTCGTTGCTTCGTCACGTTTCTAGTTTTACTTTTTTCTTCTTTTTTATATATACATCCCTTATTATTATAGAATCTTATGGAACATTAAAAGAGATTAAGATATATAGATGTCCTTTTCGTTCGTGTTCGAGTACTCAGGAATTCGAAATCCTTTAACATCCATTGCGATCACGAGTAAAGGATTTCAAAAAACACGCGTACGCACAAGCACAAACATACGAACACTTACACACATACGGGCGCCCGTGAGGGCGTCCACGCGGATAAAAACGGATAGTTAAAGAGACACGTGTCAAGGCGATCCAAACGCGTGTCAGGAAATATTTCTAAACACCGACACGTGTCCCTTATCAACAACCTAGGACACGCGTCATGAATTATATTTGATTTGTCGAACGACACTTTTGCCGTACGACTTTATTTTACTCGCTATCATTCGTCGTCCTGGTCGTCCAAGGCTTCATCCCGACGTCCATCTTTTTTTTACAACTTCGAACGTAATCCCCGGTCGTCCATTGCTACTTATAAAGTATAACTTTAATAAATTAATCAAAACAAAAAAATCAATTAGTGATCGTAATCGATTAATTATTTCTATTTACGATCCAATGATGAACGTGAAATATTTTGTAATTTTTTTTTCTTTCATTTATTTTTGTTTTTTTTTCTTTTTTTGTTTTTTTTTAATATTTTTCAACTTTTCCTTCCTGCACTGTTTCGATCGATCATTTCTACTTATTCTCTCTCTCTCTCTCTCTCTTTTTCTTTCTCTCTCTCTCTCTCTCTCTCTCTCTCTTTCCTTTTCTTTTCTCTTCTTTTGCTTTTTCCCTTTTCACATAATTTTGGTTTTTTTCCTCCTTACAACCGTTCCCCACCTCCACCGTCGAAGAATCTCTTCTTCTTATTCTTCTGCTTCTTCGTCTTCTTTTTTCTTGATATTAAAATATTTCGCTACGATAATAATGTGATCCATTTTGTATTTCAAAGGAAAAAAAAAAAAACAAAGGAAACAAAGAAAAGAAAATATATATTTGTTTAACTTCGCGTATCGTATAGTACGATGACCACTCTCGACTTCCGATCGCGTAACTGAAATCGTGAAAAGCGAGAGGAAGGCGGAAGCCATGCTCTCCCCTGTTTCTGTCTCTCTCTATTCTCTAGATATTGGTTGGGGTTGAAAACCCAGGCACGACCCCCATTCGTCGCGAGGCATAGAACGCGGGGGTAGTAGACGGAGCATGCCTCTACCACCACCCCCCCTCCTCCGTTCCCGTTGCTGGGGGCAGCGGTGCCGCCTCTTCATCGATCTGATAAGGAGCACTGTAATTCGTGTTTCCATGATATACCTCCTTCTCTCTCTCTCTCTCTCTCTCTCTCTCTCTCTCTCTCTCTCTCTCTCTCTCTCTCTCTCTCCCTCTCCCTCCCTCTCTCTCTGTCTACTTCTTTTTGTATGTATACATACATATCTATGTATATGTATATATATATATATATATATATGTATATATATACTTTTATATCTCTATACGTTCAGTTATATACCTACAGAGCGATTCTCAAAGAGATGTCGGAAAATTTGTAGTTAGAAAATTTTTCTTACGTATTAAAAAATGAAAAAGCAAATCTTCTGTTAATCGACGAATTTTTGATTAATCTTTTTTTTTTTGTTATATTATTCGATCGATTATAAGAAGAACTTAAAATTAATATCGAAGATGAATTATTTCAGCTTTGAGTTTATGAAACATGATAACGTGACATTGGATTTAATGCTTCTTTTTTTTCTTTATTCTATCTTTTTTTTTTTTTTTGTTTTTATTGACCAATATACTTAGGATTTAAGGTATAAAAACATAAAAATAAAGGATAAATATATATATGTATATATGAAGGAAAAATAATAACGCTCCTAAATATAATTTTCGATGTTACTTCAATCTAGTGTGTATTTAATCATTTTACTTCCATATATCTGATTTATATCATAGCTAATAACGTTGTAACTGCTTACATTTAAAATTACTTTACATTTAAATAAAATGACTAGTTAGATATACGACATTAGATCGATCGTAAAAAGTGTATAGTTAACCTTGATTCCCCAATGAAACGAGACGAAGGAGAGTTAAATAATTTAATGTCTATATCGTTAACATTTATTTCTTTTTTTTCTTTTTTTTAATTTTTCATTGCAGAATCTCCCGATCTTTCGATCAAATTATTTCGATTAAATATTAATAAAAATTAATTAATATAAACATTTACATATATAAACAATTGCAGTTATTATCTAACTGCAATTATCACTCGGAATCATTTTTATTTAATCGATCATTATATATTATATATTAATAATTAAATATTTTGCAATACGAATATCTTTTGATAGATATAAATAATATTAAGTATCAAGGTTGAAAAAATTACGTATATTATATTAACTCATATTTTATTATTTATAAATATATCCATAAAAAATGTTAGAAATAATAGATGGAATAAATATCACACTTTTTACAAATCAATCGATAACTCATCTATCTATTAAAAATGTATTAACAATTATAAAAATCATTTCTATTTAATCATTCAGTATATTGTTTTCTTCTTCATTAATTAATCGTTAAATACTTCGTAAAATAAATGAATATTGAATAAATGAATATTTTGATATTTGAATAAATAATATTTAATTTCATAATTGTCTCGAATACGTTTCTCAGATAATTAATGATATTTTAAAATTATTTTTAAATATCGAAAGAATCAATTTAAAGTACCAAGTACGAATATATATACATATATAAAAATTCTGATCGAATAAAGTCGAGGCGTTGCATTTTGTAATCGTGCAATGACGTAGCCTCGTTAAAAATTTATCAACCAATCATAAATAATTGTATAGAAAATCAGATAGTATAGTACGTACCTGTATTCTCAACCGCATAATTATAGGTTCCTCGGTTCGGGCCAAATGTCGCCGAAATACTTAACTCTCGGCAACCCTTACGCAATGTTTTCACTGCACGCGTCACGCACGTGCCCTTTTCACGTTTATTTCACTTGGATAAATTAGTACTGATTTCCGTTGGTTGCTCCATTCGTTGTATTTTGAATGATCATTTTGCCTCATTCGTGTATAATTTTTCTTATTTACCTTTCTTTTTTCTTTTTACAAACAAAATTCGAAAAAAGAAAGTTACGATAATATCTTCATTCTTAATAGAGATAAAGGGATGGATCAAAAATTCATAGAATTATTTGAATAATTAAAGATCAAGATTAATCTTTTGGACTAACGTTTTTTTTTCTTTTTCTTTTTTCAAATAATAAAATATAACTATGTTAATCTAACTATACAAGTCTAATTGCGAGATTTAAGAAGGAGTTTTGAAAAAAAAAAATAACTAGGTAATCATGTTTCAAGATCATATAAAAACTTTTGGCACACCCTATTAGAAGAATCATATAAAACTTAATGGTGTTATGTATCATTTGTTTGATTTTTATTCGAAATCAAATTATTACGATTGACCATACGTAATAAAATATTTAATAACGAGTAATAAAATAATAATTATTATAAATTAAAATGAATTTAACTTAAGCTAAACGTATGTGCATACGTCGTACGTAGTGATAAATTGAAGATAATTATTTTGGTTTCGTTCGTAGATCATTAAAATTGGACGATTAAAATGGCTGGAATCCAGATACCTTTTACAAATGAGAACCTTCTAAATATCTTCTACAAATGAACCCTATGTGGGAGAATCGTAGAATGAATTATTATCGTTCCATCTGTGACCGATCCATTTTTGGGAAAGAAAAAATCGTCAGAAGCGTTGAAACGATTCCCACATATTATATATTTTTACAATACTACGGTATTATATTGATATCGTTTTGGATAGATTTTTTTTTATTTATCTTTTGTTCTTTTTTATTATTTTTCTTTTATTTTTTTCTTTTTTTTTTTTACCAACGTTGTTATCTCGATTTTACAATTTAATTTTTATATCGATGCGGGAGAGATGAGGGGTGGAATGAGATGGGGTAGATTGGGATAGGGTGGGGTAGAGGAGCGTCCGTTTTTTGTTTAAACAATAAAAGAAAATTTTCGATTGAATAGGCGTAAATGGGTTTTGGTATTACGTCCTATCTCGTCTTGCCATAATCCCAAATGAAAATACTCGAACGGGATGACGATATGTCCATTGTACGTGTGTGAGTATGTATGCCGAAAAGTTTTTTCTTTTTTTTTTTTTTCATCTTCGTTCTAGATTAAAAGATAAATCGTAAGGGAGGGGGAAGAAACAGACTGAATCACTCGCTTTCTATAGCCTCACTTATATAGATAAGTACTTATGTACGTGCTCTAATGTAAAGCCTACTTTCATCTCGTATGTTCGTACGTATGCACGTATATATATATATATATATATATATATATATATATATATATATATAATTTATTATATATGTATATATATATAATTTATCCAACGATCGTGGTTAAATATCTTATTTTTCATTTTCCTTTCTTTTTTCGAGGGATAAATTAATTTAATTGAAAATTTAATTGACGTTTATTGAAAATTAATTATAATATAATTAATTAATAATATATTCAGTTTTTTTTCTTTTTTTTTTTCAATAATGTTTTAATTTCTTAATGAATTAATGAATTGAAAAAGATTGTTTAGTAAAACCTTCGAGGTTTTGTTGATATTAGAATGGAATTAATAAGGAATCCTTATTCTCTTCCCTTTTAACGTTAAATATTTCATATTTTCCCCTTCCCCCGCCCCTAGCCCTCTAGTGAATCTCTCTTCACGGTGCATCCTCGCACATCCACAATGCAAGTAACACCTGGTCCGCTGTAACACCCTTGAACATCCTGGTACCTATCAAGGACACGCCTCGGGGGCCCCTTTCTAAGTGTCTATTAATTTATACTCAGCATGAGTGTGAAATCGATTTGTGTTCGCTCTCGATCTGCTCTCAATAAATCTACAGGAGAGCATCGACCCTAAGCACAATTCACGATGATCATCGAAATCTTTCTCTTTGATAATATATATGTCGTGGAAAAAAAAAAGAATAAAAATAAAAATAAAAAATTAATACAATTATTGAACATTAACATATGAAAATACATTATTACATGTTTGTTATTATAATTTTTCCAAATTTTACGTACAAATATGTATTATCCAATAACCATTACACTCTCAACATAGTAAAATAATTTAATATTTATTTAATAAATTAAAATATTTATAATTATATGAATTGTTTGATATAAAAATATTAATCATGACCATAGTGATACCGCGGGGAATGATCTATTATTTCAAACATATTCGTCGAATATAAAAAAAGTAAATAAAAAAAGAGAAAAAAAAAATAAAGAAAAAACATATGGAGAACTTAACCGCTAGAAGGGATACCGCAAAACGTTTCTAGGGTTAGAAAAATAGAAAGAGTGAGGGAGAGAGAGAGACAGAAAGAGAGAGAGACAGAGAGAGAGAGAGAGAGAGAGAGAGAGAGAGAGAGAGAGAGAGAGAGAGAAAGTGCAACGCATTGGAGCGTGGAACGTTTTGGGGGTCGTACACTGTTTGGAGGGTCTTCGATGAGGACACCATAGGGGGTACCATCCCCTACATACCGGAAACGGTTTTACCGGATATGTGAGTACATATTAGACAGGTGTTTGATACTTTGTTACTTGCTTACGTAAGTCCGTGAATCGTAAGTCGTGAGTTTGTGATAAGAATCATCGATCGATACAAAATCAATCGATTATAAAATCTATCTGAATAAGTAACGTCGGTGTCTGCAGTATTATTATTATTATTATTATTATTTTTTTTTTATTTTTCATTTTTATTTAATATTAAATTTAAACAATACTATTGTTATTAATCGTATATAATACAATATTCTAATGTTTATTAGTTTTTTTTTTTTTTTTTTTTCTTAGAAATTTTAGGATTTTTATTTCGGTATAGAATTTTTAATTTGGACATAGAATTTTTTTTTATTACTAGTAAGATAATAACGTTATTTATTTTAATATTTTATAATATTTTTTATTCTTAGAAAAATCTTGGGATTATAGATTATTTCTTGGTATTAATAAATTATCTTAATATACTTTTTATTAATTATTTCAATAATATATTTCTTAGTATTAATGAAATATACTACTGTTATTTATAGCATGATAACATTTTTTAATATTAGTACATAGATAATAAATGAGGTATATTTATATGAAATGCATATCTGCTTACAAAAAACATACGTGAGATTTATTCATCCATCATTCTTTTTTTTTTCTTTTTTTCAAACGAACAAATAAAATTGTAGATTAAATTTAAGATAATGTTAACGTGCGAAAGTCATCGGAGATCCATCATTTTATTACAATTCAATGGAAAAAAAAATCTAACTATTGATGATTGTAATTTAATACTTAGATAGATCGACGTTAAGATAATTTTATCATCGTTTATCATCTCATCTAAGAATCCATTATCTTCGACGATATGTTCGTTAAGAGCCATTCACGTTACGTGTTTTTCTTAGAACATATGTAACTATATGCACAGACTTATAGAAAATCATTCATTAATTATTTCTTTCCTTTCTTTTTTTTCGAAAAACATGCAAACGCTACATTATCTTTCAATAGAAAAATATTACTATACATTGAAAATGATTGTACTGATATTGTGTAGAAGTTAATCGTAGCGCAATCTGTTGGTACACGTAAAAGTAACAAAAGTTTATTATCTACGATCGATAATTTAAATTCCTATAAAGAAATTCTATCCAATATATGGTAATTAATCTTTCTAGTATTTTATGGTCTATAAAATAAAGATCTGCTGATGAAATAGAATCTTTAAGAAAAGATAAGTATCAATGATATTTCCGATATTTATATTGATATAATAAAACTTACATTACGATGTAAGTTTATCGATTTAAATATACGTGTATGAATGTATGTATATATATATATATCGTTTATAACTTTTTTCAGAAGAAAAAAAAAAAAAAATTATTGGGCTCGTCCGGGATTTGAACCCGGGACCTCTCGCACCCTAAGCGAGAATCATACCCCTAGACCAACGAGCCATCAAAGGATATTGACAAATTATGTAAAAAATTTTACTAACTATGAAAAGATGCAAAATACATAGACGAACTGTGCCAAAGAACAAAATTTAAATAGTACTAACTATTCGTGACGGATTAACAATATTCATAATACAAGATAAGATATATTGGCTACTTTAAAAAGAAACACATAAAAGTTTGATAAACTTATAACGTATAGTTTAGATGTACATAATGTATATATGCTCCTATTGTAAATATACCCCTTCTCCCCTATAGATTAGTTATCATAATAGCTAGAGTTGGTAAAAATTGTTTTTTTTATAGTCACTATTTTTTATTTTATCCACATATATATATATCTGATTGTTTAATGAACATTATATCCACAGTTATAATATTAACTAAAATTCTATGTTATTGATTGCTATGAAAATTTATTTACAGATAACTTATAGCTATATTTATAATAAAATAATGTTAAAAGGCTTTTAAGTAAGATTATACTTATGTAGAGAGTTCACATTTATAGCGGACATTTTCAGTATGTTATTTATTTTAGTATTTACCCTTATTCTACCTGCCATTGTGACATGTAGTCGATTTTCATTGTGCTTTAAATAATTTTGTTATTCAATTCAATAAGTTGCTCTTTTATTTCCTTCAAACTATCTTTAAACATAGCTAATATTTGGTTTATGCTATTGTAATTGTTATCATTATTGACATTATTTTCATGATGCTGAATTGTATTATGATGACTATTCTAGTGCATTGCCTGAGGTGTGTTATTGACTGATCTCTGGTTGTTGTGTTCTGTTATACTACTTTTTTTTTCTTTAGTCATCACTATGTTTACATATGATATATTTTGGTCGATGAATTTGTTAATTTTATTGAGTTTGTCCATTACTATTTTATTTTATTTTTTTCTTTCTCTTTCTTCTTCAGATCAGCTATCATTTTCATATGTGCATTCGAATTTTGGGGGTTTTCAGTCTTTTGTTTTTCATTGTGGCGCTGTTGGCCTTTTCAGCTACGCCCTCTTTCATGAAACTCATGTCATCGGATAGCGCCTCAAATCTATTGTCTGACTCATAGCTTAGACTTTGAGTACCGACTGAGAGTTTTGGTGATGTTTTTTTTGGTTTACGAAAACCCTCGGTCCTATCATTTTCTTTGTCGCGTCTAGTCTTGTTCCTTTGTTTCTTATTATGTTCAGGTTAGGTATTATTTACGAATTATTTTCAAATAGTCTATCATAATTATTGGTATTGAATTCTTTATCGAAATTTTTAATATTCCGTTTCAGTATTTTGTTTACTTCGTCATGCGAAGCACTCTTTTTTAATTTCCTTTTCTGACTAGACGCCATGACTTTTTTTGTCTTTGTTTTGGGTCAGTTTTGGGTCATCGGATGAGCTCAAATCACGTAATCATTATTATTTTGTTGTACGATTTGCAAAATAACTCAGTGTCACTAATGGTAAAAAAAAGTACCTGTTTTGCGACAACTAAATCTGTTTTTTCAATTTGCACAATTCCCGTAGGGTCTTGTATATTTTTTTTTCCACAAAAGAGCACTGATTAGTAAGTCCGTCATATTCGAACGCTCAACAACAACTCATGGCTCGTTGGTCTAGGGGTATGATTCTCGCTTAGGGTGCGAGAGGTCCCGGGTTCAAATCCCGGACGAGCCCAATTTTTTTTTTTTCTATAGTTGGTAAAATTTTTTTTTTTTTTCACTATTTTTTATTTTACCCTCATATATCACCGATTGTTTTATGAACACTTTAGCCCAGTTACAATATTAATTATAAAATTCTATATATTGATTGCTATAGAGATTTATCTAACGATAACTAATAGCTATATTTTTATTAAAATAATGTAAAAAATCTTCTAAGTAAGATTATACTTGTGTATCTTATATAGGGCTGTGTCAAATAAACTTACCTTAAAAAAAAAAAAAAAAAAAAAAAACCCAACGAGCCATGTTAACTAGTTATTGATATGTACTGAAAATCTATTGACATTTCAATAGAAACCGGTTTAAAAGAATGAATGATCGACGCTTTTGAAACGGATTTCTCTTTACGGTATTGTTATTGTCATCGTCGTCGTGTTGTCGCGTCGTCGTGTCGTCGCGTCGTCGTCATCGTCGTCATAGGCGTCGTTGTCCGTGAGTGCGTGCATGCTTGCGTACGTACGTCTCTAGAACTAAAATAATCTCTCGCGTTCAGTTTATTCTACGGGTACGACGAACGAAGTGTAAGATGGCGGCAGAAAGGCAACAGCAAGATTTTAATAGGAGTGCATTGACGATCGACGGTGAGCGGGTAAAAATTCGTTCGTGAATTGATCTGAACGTACGATAAAAAAGAAAAGGGAAATAGAAAGAGGGGGAAAAAAAAGAAAAGAAAAAAATACAATGGAATCCAAAAAAGAAAAGGAAGATCATGAAGAATTGAACATTTGAAATGTCAAATAGAGTTTTCCAAGAAGTTTCTTTTTCTTTTTCTTTATTAGTTTTTTTTTTTTTCTTTTTTCTAGGCTTGGTACACCGGACAACGAGCTCATAAAATTCCCAATGGTTTGGTCCATGTCGTTGGCTGTGATTGCTTAAGTTTGGATCTTTCTTACAATGAATTAACCTCGGTCATGGCATTAAAGGATTTCTCTAGATTGGAGGAATTAATATTGGACAATAATCGACTACGCGATTTAAAAACATTACCTTTTATG